AAGAATACAGTCAATTATTAAATATACAAAGAAAAAAGGAAGAGCAAGTAAAATAAAATAAATAAATAAAAAACTGTTCTTTGCAGGCCTGTCAGTAACTTTAAAGCAAGCTGTGTCATTGGATCATGAATTAAAAACACCCTGTACATGAGTATAGGTATTGTCCACCTTTAGATTTTTTAATGAATTCTGTTGCACACAGATGGCTCATAAATTGCTCAGCTACCAAGCAGTTAATGAGTAGCCCAATGTGCCCTCCCCATTCCCAGAATTTCCAGGATTTATTTTTTTTTAATACTGATGCTGTTATTATTACTATGATTATGATTATCATAATGTTATTAAAATACTAAAGGTGATAAAAATGCAAATCTTTCCAAAATTCAGGGTAAAGTGTTAAAAGATAGGTAGGATTGGTAATTGACTCCTTGGTGGTGGAGCCATCTATGTGTAAACAAAATTAATATACTAAAACCACTGTGGACATAGAATATAGGTCATAACATCCCAGCACAAAAAGTTAACATACAGCAGTGCCAGAGTAACCCTAAACTTATGTGAATTTGCAAATGCCATCAAGTATGAAAATATTGATTGTATTTAAAACTGGCTAAACTCTTTTTCCCTTATTGAATCCAATGACATCATTGCAATCTTACTAGCATCTAAATCCTGTCCTATCAGGATTTAAACTAAGAAGTCTAAATTCTCATACCAAAGACCTGATCAATTTCAGGCACAAACAGAGAAGCAAAAGGTTTTAAATATTCACTACATCCTCTCATCTATTAACTACAAAATAGATCAACAGCACAAAGCAAACTCGATTTCCTCAATTCATTAAACAGATTAAAATCGGTTTGCTAAAGGATAGATGAGAATAAATACGAGGCATAAGATATATGATGCTGCAACTAGTGACAGAGGTTCAAGAAACAACCTGTAAAAAGAAAGAAAATAAACCTACAAAGAGAAATCTAATCTTGCAATTGCAATGGCAATCTTCTCTTTTAAACACTGAGTTTGTGAAAAAAAAATCATAAGGAAATGATACAGAAGATGAGAAAGGATAGATAATAATAAGGAAAATTAACCCATTGGATCCGGGTGTCAGGACCATCTCATCATGAAGAAAATTGGCCAAGGGATGGTTGACAGAAACATCTCATCATGGAAGAAAATTTGGCCAGGGGCAGGTGCCGTGAACATCTCACCAGGGGAAACTGTTGCCAAATAGACAAGAACATCTCCTCATAAGTGCACAAATCACTTGTAAGGAGAATGCCATCAGGAAGGGGCTTATTTGCAAGCTCCTGCAAGATTTCCACTGTCCATGAGGTTGGAGTGTCCTATCAATGAGCAATGCCTGGAGGACACAATGTGCTCTCAATGCTACCAACAGAGCAGGGTGTTAGAGAAAGTTTAATAATATGAAAATATTTCTAAATTATGGTTAATAATTGATACTGATACTGCAAGTACTGTAAATTACCCAGAGAAATTATATGGAGGCTGCTTAATGAAAACAGTCTATTATCATCTTCATACAGCACAACAAATGGCAAATTTTAGAACTGTGAAAATGGCAAAACTTCTGCAGAAAAAGGGCTATTAGCATTGCAAAGAGGAGGCAGGGTGTCTTGACAATGCACATGTTCATGTAGGCCAGGCTTACAATCCATACACTTGGGAGTGTTACCACTTACATGAGCATGTCCACATTTTAGGTCCATGTGCAAGCCGCAAGGCACCCAGATCCTATGAGTTAGCATCTCAGAAAGGAATGTATATAAAAGAAAATAAAAAGGCATGTTCAAAAAAGAGTAAATGATGTAGTATAATAAAAGAATAAAGTATTTAAAACACACACACAAAAATTACGTTTCACAAGGGTGTAAACTGAAATAGCATAAGAAGACTTCAGTCATTAACACTTTTTCAATTTTCTTCCCCTGAATAAATGAATAACCAAAAATGGCTGTTATCAAGCATATAAAAAAATTAAATATGCATTCCATGCATCTCCAACATTATACAATGGCATCCCACATATACAGTACATGGATAGTCATGAAATTGTTCTACATATTAGATATACTATAACCCAATGTGAGTGAAAAAAATATATAATAAAAGTAGGCACATGATCATAATATGAGGTATAATAAAAAAGTTGGCTATAAAATGCTATAAGCACATTTGACACAAACTGAGTTGCTATCCCTTCCATGACAGTCACTTAATACAGTGATATACCTAGCATTTCTACCAGGCTTCAGTTTCTGAAGTCCCATATGTACATCAAGCATCATCTGCCATTCACACAGATCTCCTCCTAAGCATCAAGACAGTGCCCCTTTAGCCTATCTATTTAGCCTATCTATTGAGCAGATGGATGGGTGGAGTGACCAAAGAGAGAAAAAAAAGGGGGGGGAGAGCACCACCTCTGACAGTAAAACAATGGAATTTGCAATGACAGCCTGACACTGGAGGATAAATTCTACTTCTGAACTCCCTTGCCTCCTTAGAGCTTGTGGGCTTCTCCACAGTGAAAACTGTTGTTTGATCTCTAGGTTGTAGCCAAAGACTGTAACTCATGTCAATATTGATCATCCTTGAAATGAGGAGGTTATGCCCATCAAGGTACAACTTGAATTCTTATTGTACTCTCATAAAATTCTAACTCTGAAGCATAAGTACTTCATATGGCTCACAGCTTCTTGCCCATAGGTTTGCTGCAATATTTTATGTGTCTCAATTGTTGATTTCCTGTCTGACAGAAAATTTTATATTTGCTCTTTGCTCAAGTGTGTTTATACTGTCATTAAAAAATGAGCACATGCATGGTCATAAAATCATGTCTTAAAAATTATATACAGACCCACAACAGTCACTGTTTGCTCCTACTGTGAGCACATGACCACACCACACTCATGTCTGGTTGCAACATGAAGTGTCTTGGGACACTTTGATCACATCTCATACACAAGAAATTTATAATTATATGCATACTTAGTAATAGATAGCAACAACATTCCCTCTTTCCTTTGTTACAATGCCATTATACCCATATATTGACAGGATCTCAAGATGCATTCACAGCACTCACATTTGTGAACAGGTCAGATATTTACCATTCACTAAATTTCATGCAATAGTGCCCAAAACTTACATTCACAAGTAAATACTACCTAAAAGAGACTAAACCAAAGTGATGAGAAAGTAACAAGCCTTCCAGCAAGGTGAACTTACCCATGCATATAGACTTTGATTCCTTCCTCAGGAGTGACCATGTCTTCATGCACTGAAGAAGGAGCAGTTTCAAAACTGTCATTATCCCCAGCATAACCTCCTTTCTCGTCAACTGCTGCCTGTGTGTTCTCTCCTTCTTTAGCCCCAGCTGCACTGTGGTTGACCAAAGTCTCAGATATGTCTCCATTCTGTCTGATCCTTAGACTTGCCTCAATCACTTCTTCTCCATCTTCATCAAAGGTTAATTTCTTCACTACAGCCTCTTTAGCTTCATCTTTTGCTTGACTTTGAGCCTCCTCAGAGTTTTTTCTGTTATTGCTGAACAGTGTCTGATGAAGGAAATTGAATGCTTTCCCATACTTGGTTGTGGTTGCTGGAGTGGATGCTGCCTTAGGGATGTGTGTATGTTCTTCACTTTGGATGTCCCACCTACACCTGCAGTCACCCATCTGCATCAGGTGCAACTTTAACCCATTCTCACTGACACAGACTTGCATGTCTGAATTGCAATTATTGTAGGCAATGTTCAATGCCTTCTCCAGACACTTAACAACACAGCTGAAATGCTCAGTTGCAACTTTCTTTTCTTCTAATGTGATATCTGGCTTTGCAGCATCTTCTTCATCAGATGAGTGGACTTGTATGAAATTCAGGTGTGACACAAACACCTTCAGTGTCTCAGCTAGAGTACATATATCAGAGGATGTCAAATTCTCTTGGATGGTTTCTGTGGCTTTAAAGGCCAGAAGAACATGGATGAAGCCAAACTCTAGCTCAGTCTTTAACTCTTTGGTGCAACATTTGCTCACAACATTCTTCAGACACAAGATCTCTGGTTTCAATTTGGTCCTTATTGTTTTTGTAACTGAGAAATTGGCCACTGTACTTGATTGAAGGTCTTGTGCCAAATCCCCCAAGACTTCAGCCAAGCGACGGGCAGCAACACGGATGGATTTCATGATATATGAGAGCTGTTCTGAGGCTGGGTCTTCTTCTGCCTGTGATGTTCCTTCTAACTGCCCTCTCTCTTGCCTCTCTTCTTTCTCCTTCCAATTCTCCAAAAATTTGCTAAAGGAAAGTTAGAGAGACAAAAAGTTTAGAACTTCATCTATCCAGAAAAACTGTCAAACACTTACTAAATACTAAAAATATTACATGTGGGTCCTCATCCTTTCAGAGCTATTTATGGTTATGCAAACTATCATACACATGATAAATTTAAAAATTATGTATATCTAATGTATCATATTTGAATACTATTAATATTGACTTGCAGCATACATGTACTTTAGCCATCAAGAGTCTTAGTAACCTCAGATTCAACAAACACCTCTATTGAACCCACCTGCTTGCACTCTTAAACCCTGGACCATCATTCTGAGGTGAAAGAGAGACATTCAAACGAAGCGCCTCCAGTTCTTGGCAGAGTTCACTCATTGTGCTCCGACTGGTGTTGCTAACATGCGAGTCATTGAGCTTTGGTAAGCTAGCATCACCTGGTAATAAAGGCAATAGAGGATATTTAGCCACGATTCAGAACTGAACTTGATCCAACAGATCTGTACCAAACAGTTGATTTGGCAATTTAAGCTCCTTTGATTTCATATAAAATATTTACTCTATTTTGAATTTACACCATAAAAAAATGCACATACTGTTTGCTCAAGTGACATCACAGGGAGAAATAAAGGAAGAAATCAATATAATCAATAAATAAATAAATAGTTATATAAGACATAGAACAGCAG